GCTTGATTTGACAGTGTAATAATTGGGAAGACCATCGTAAATTATGTCAATACTGAAGATGAGGCTGAGGAGGCACGTACCAGGTGAGGCAGGAGAGCAAGGGGACATCGTCCTGGAGGCGGATGAGGCCACGCAGTCCTCCAGGTCAACTTGTGGCGCTGGTGGCGCAGCTCCAGCAGCTGCTCATTCAGCTGCTGGATGTAGTCCTGCGGGAGTGTGGGGGTGAGAGGTGGGAAGTGTTTGAAGTGCAAATAAAAATAATATAGCCACCTATTTCATATAATATAATAATATAGCCACTTATTTCAGCAAGATATAGAAGAGTTAACTTAACACACACCTCCTGATGTGTGTTAAGTTAACTGATCCAGATCACTGGATGAGTTGATGCACCTCGCATACAGGTGGAGGCGTGTCTTGCATCCTGATCCAGATCACTGGATGTGTTGATGCACCTCGCATACAGGTGGAGGCGTGTCTTGCATCCTGAATGATAGTAAAATATACAGTGAAAAAAGACCGAAAATAATGAGCTTATTTACCTTCAAACTTTGGGACACCAGCAAGGCCTGTTGAGACTGCGCCTGCCACTGCGCCTGCCACTGCACGTGAACACAAACAATTAGTCACACAATTACCATACACATAATTACCGTACAGATATATATACACATAATTGCCGTACACATATAAAACACGACTACCACGGCAAGGTGTAGTGAGAGGTTGTCATTTTATGTAGTGAGTTTGTCATTTTAACATGGTTATAGTCACACAAGGATTGCCAGCACTGGAGGATGAACTAAGAAATATTCATGCGTCGTACAACTGACCTGGCGCCGTTCGAGTTCGTGTTGCTGTAGAGCAGCCGCGTGTTTATGGTACAAGTCAACTTGGGTCTTCACAACAACGTCAAGCTGCTCCCGCGTGGTCTGCAATAGACTCTGAGTCTGTACAAGCTCTTGGCTTTTGTGTTTTAGCTGAGTTTTTGTCTGCACCAGCTCTTCCTTGGCCTCCTGCAACATCAGGTCCACTACAGCAGCGCCCATGTTCTCGCCTGCTACAAGAATGCGAGTTTCCAGTAATTCTACTGCAGAATAAATATCAGCTAAAAGCAAATATAATGGAGAAATTAACAATGCCACTGTACGAAACAAAGAGACAGAAGACACGCCAGGCTTGCTCATAAATCCGATTAAATTCTACACAAATTAAATCCAATTAAATCTACATAAATTAAATCCAATTATATCTACACAAACTAAATCCGGTTAAATCTACACAAATCCGATTAAATTCTGCACGCATCTCCGGTCAAGTGGTTTGAACCTAGATCCGGTCATATACCTCAATTACGCTTGATTTGACAGTGTAATAATTGGGAAGACCATCGTAAATTATGTCAATACTGAAGATGAGGCTGACGAGGCACGTACCAGGTGAGGCAGGAGGAGAGCTTGAGGACGTCCGGGAGGCGGACGAGGCCACGCAGTCCTCCACGTCCATGAGCCACTTGTGGCGCTGGTGGCGCAGCTCCTGCAGCTGCTCCTCCAGCTGCTGGATGTAGTTCTGCGGGAGTGTGGGGGTGACAGGTGGGGAGTGTTTGAAGTGCAAATAAAAATAATATAGCCACCTATTTCATATAATATAATGTAATAATAATAATAATAATATAGCCACTTATTTCAGCAAGATATAGAAGAGTTAACTTAACACACATCTCTTTGCAGCAGCCTCTCCTGCAGGCTCTGGCGCTCCGCCTCCAGCGACTGCCGCTCTCTGCCATATTTTGAGCACAGGTCGCTGGTCTTCTGCTCCTGCAATGAGTTAAGTTGCATTCCTCATCTATCCGCAATTAGTGTACAAAACTTGCATTGGTATAAAATCTTATATTTTCAACACGTTAGATGACCATCTATCTTGCACCACCTCGGGCCGTGCTGAGGCATCAAGAGAGGCGGAGGGGGCGAGGGTGTCGTGGCCTCTCTCGTCTTCAGCCTCAAGAACCTCCTCCTCCTCCAGACGCTCAGTCTCCTCCACTCTGCAAGTTAAACTCAACTATTGGAGGTTTCTCGGAAAAACTTTGGACAAATCTCGCAGGATATCGGGATTCTAAATGACGGGATTTATAAAACCTCAAAAATATTTTCTTCCAGATAACGCCAGGTTAACTTAGCAGGACAATGCAAGATTAATCTAGCTCAATGTATGAAAGAAAGCTGAGCGACTTCCAACAACGTATTGAAAAGCCTACCGTTTTTGCTGCAGCTCCTTGATCAGAGCGTCCTTCTCCTGTAGCTGCAGGGTCAGTCGCCCCAGCTCTTCATGGAGGCGAGGGTCTCCTCCATGTCGCAGATGCTGAGCTGCGACCCCCCATAGTCAGCACCCACGCAGCTCTCCTGCAGCACACCTCACATCTTCATACTTGCTCGGACAACCGAGAGTGATTTCCTGAATTAATTAACATTTATGGAACTAAGCGGTATCATAATTAGGAACGTACCACTCCCTTTCGGAGCGCACCACTCCGCGGTACCAGCACCGTTTTTGTCCACCCTTCCTCTTCCTACAGAATCCTACCTCTCCTTTCACAGGTCTAAGATGTCGTTGACCTTCCCGGCTTCGGATATGATGGCCTCAATAGTGGCTATGTTGGCGAGGGTCTCATCGGCGCAGCTCTCCTGCAGCACACCTCACATTTAAAAAGCTATCCGGCAGCACACCACAGCAACTATAATGAAACGTCTAACAAATGAGCGTAACTTTACCACCGAAGCAGGGAATTTCATGACTATTTCAAGTTTTTTTATCATTTTTTATCAAGTAAAGAAAGTATTTGAGCAACACAATTAGTCGAGGGAGTAACATTGAAGAGAGGATCTCAGTCAACACACCTGCGAGGTCCGCAGATCTGAGGTGAGGGGGCGGACAGCCTCAGGGGGGGCAGCCTCAGCAGCCTCAGGGGGGGCAGCCTCAGTCGCCTCCACTCTGCAAGTTAAACTCAAACTGAACACTGTAACATTATATACATATATTTATCTAATTTGTCGCGTGTTTCAAGCCTGCCACTCGGTATTGGAGAATGTTGGGACACATTCAGGACAATATTCATTCAAGCACTTTTTGTACTAAGTTCGAAAGAAATGTTGGACGTTCAATGTATGAAAGAAAGCTGAGCGACTTCCAACAACTTATTGAAAAGCCTACCGTTTTTCTTCTCGCAGCTCCTTGTTCTCTTGCCGGAGTGCGAAAATTTCTGTGTCCTTTTCTCGCAGCTCCAGCTGGAGCCGCTCAACCCTCTCAAGGAGCGAGGCCAGGGCAGCGTCATGAGCCTGCGAAGACGCTTAAGTCACATAACATAACATAGTGATGTCGGCGTTGAAGTGTAGGCCTGATGTGGCCTACACTTCACGACACAAGAAGAAGAAGAAGAAGAAGAAGAAGAGCAACCACAACCACCACCACCTCACCTCCTTCTCCTCCTGCTGCCGTCTCGCGGCCTCTGCCCTGGCGGCAGCCTCTTCCGCCTCCTTTTCCTCCTGCTGCCGTCTCGCGGCGTCGGCCTTCGCTGCCTAAAAATGCAAGACAAAAAAATGAAAATGCAATTCAAGCAACGGATCTTTTGAGAGGAATATAAACGTTTAAACCAAGTTACGGAACCAAGTATAAGGGTGATCACACATAGCGGCACTAACCGTAGGAGGTACGTGACACAGGTTGTGATTAAATCCAAAACTGACCTTTGACGTAGGGCTTGTGCCCTTAAATGGTCGTCCGCACTCCTCACAGACAGCTTGAGGGAGCTGGAAAAGAAAGAAAAGGAGTCAAAATTAGGATCAAGTAATTAAAATAGAACAACAAAATTAAAGCAACTTTTTTATAAAGCACTTATAGAGTTTTTTTTTTTAAATCAAGCACCACTGCTTACTTCCAGCTTGTTGCTGCTGGCGCCGACAGCGGGCGCAACGGCGAAGAAAAGGATGGGCAGGTACAGAGCTGCCGGAGGCAGGGCTGCTCTTGGGAGAAACCTTCTTCAGGTTCCGCACGGCTTTCCTGCCATCTGGAAAGAAAGAACAGGAGCAATAGAAAGTTGCTGTTCTTTAACAGAATAACAGCAACAAAATTAAAGTTTTTTATAAAACATGCGTATAAAGTTTTTTTAAAAAGCAAGCAGCACTGGTTACCTCCAGCTTGTTGCTGCTCGAGGTTGCTCTAGGTTGCAGGAATAGAAGGATGGTGGAACCACCACCACCACCACCTACGCCCTCCGCCAGGGCTGCCTCCGCCAGGGCTGCGCTGCCAATGAACCACTGGCATGTGCCACATTTTCGAGGCATCTGGAAAGAAAGAACAGGCGTAAAAATTTGGATCACATTAGGGTAACACGGGGCAGCATTAGGAATTCATATGGAGAGCTAAGGGGCGCCAACCTACAAAAGTATGGGAACCACTGCCATAATCAATGCACATAGACACACCACGGACATAGTCGGTGTCACCAGAATTTTCTAAAAACTAATGGTTAAACAATATTCTTCGTACGTTACGCATACTGCCGTCCTAATTTCTCTAGACATTATCAATGACAACAGTGCAAAAATTCAATGTATCGAATCGTGCTTCTTTCAGCATTTCAAATAGTTGGTGTAGCCATTGATCCGTCATTAACTAATTTACGAAATTATGCTTGGTACCGCTCCACATGTTTGAAAATACTACAGACTGATGTTCTTGCAAGGAATAGCAATGCAAGCTTAATAGTTTACGATGTAAGTAGAAAAGCTAACGAAAGTATCTGAAGCAAATTCTACGGTTGTAACTATACGAGTTATGATCTGTGGGCGAAGCCGCGGAGACACTACGTGACTACAAACGTTGGCAAGCAAGAAGCAGTTAGTTTTGGTAACACACTATGGCTTTGCATCACATTGCAATTCCTCTTAAGATGACAGCCAGTTATAGTATCAATTGCACTATGATTATGAGTATAAATTCAATTTTTCAAGCTAATTTCTATAAAGAATGAAAATCGAAGAAGGAAAAAACTCGTACTACTTGGCCTTTATTTGAGATAATTAAATATATTTATATTACGTACCGTAGATATAATATTAGTACTATATTAATATATTTAACTATTTCATCCTTGGATAGACTAAATAAATTTATAAAATTGAAGAACATGAGGCATTACAATTGATGAAGCAAATATACCCCCCTAATGCCAGCTCACCCAAGGCCTGCTTCAAGGAATGGTGCAAGGCGGTCGTAGTCCAATGGAGGCGATCCACAGGACAGGAACGAGTCCAGGAGATACAAAAATATGCGAAAGCCGGCTTTGGCTAACTTGATGAGCAGGGGCGATAAACTCAGCATTGGGTTTCCTGCAGTAGATTCCACAATTGCTCCTGACCCGGAATTATGAAAAGCGGAAATAGGTGTGTCTTTGTATCTTTCGAGTTGGACCATGGCTGCCTGAGCTTGCTGCTCGCCTTCAATATTCCATGATGTCATTTGAGGATTATCAATTTTACTATATAATTGAGGTTGCTGCTCGCCATCGAAGGCATCGATGAGCATGTAACTTATAAACAAGATGATTCATCTTATCATCTTATCGTTGATAAGATGATAAATCTTGATCGATAAGTTGGCAAGATCGGATTAATTTGATTGTCTAGACTCTAGAGTACCTTAGTAAACAAGCTTAATAACAGAACGTAAATAAAAATAAAGAATAAACATCAACATGCATACAAACGAAAAGATAGATAAATAGAGCACAGGAAAAAATTTAGAACTTATTGTGGATTGATTGGTTGCAGCTGCCTGCACTGATGCTGCGGTTGACGTGGTACTAGTCGCAAGACAATGCAACCCGGAGCGAATATAGTTAGTCTGATAGCTAGTATGGTTATGAACCTACTGGCTCTGGCTGAGTGCTGACTGGCTCGACCTGCAAACTTTACCTCTATTGGCGAATAAAAATTACCCTAAATGGGACCCAACAAGTGAAACAACAGCGAACCAGAACAAATTAACAATAGACAAAAAATGATCAATGGTGGGAAAATTTTCCCACACACTCCCGGGCGACAGAATTAGAAACAGTTTCGCATCTTAAAGAGAGCCTTTTCTGTGGCTCTTCTTTTAGGTCGCCTTGAGTCTTGAGTTATGAGAGAAGTAGGAGTCTTCGCTTTGTCTTCCCCATCGGATGAATTATCTTCTTGCTGATGAGAAGCAATGTTGAAAGCGTTGATCTCTAATGGATAAAGCAATGAGATTGCGTATTCTCCGAGGGAACGATCAGGCCGCAGAACCCCAGCAGATCGCGTTCGCCCGTCTTGGCTCTTGAACAGTTGAACGACCCTACCCATTGACCAGAGAGGTCGGGGCTTTATTGGTGAAGAAATCAAGACGAGATCGTCTTTCTTGATTCTGTCGCTCCAAGTGGGTTGCGCGCAGGCTCTGTCAGTTTCCCATAAAGAGACAAGGTACTCTTCATACCAGAGCTCCACAAAGCGAGCCAAGGTGTTCTCTCGGATTTCCAATGTTTTCAAAACAGTTTTCTGAGTTGGTTTAATTAGTTCTCCGCCTGCAACAGAACCGAAGCTGAGATTAGATGTTGAACATACTTTTAAGAAAGAATTGGGCGAAATTATTTGATTAGATGCATCAGCAGAATCTCGGTAAGTTAATGGGCGAGAATTTACCGCTTCTTGCACGTCTGATAATACCGTTAGAAAAGAGAAATATTCCATTTTACTTCTGCCCACGGCTTTGAATAAGCAATTTTTCACGACTCTAATTAATCGCTCCCATGCGCTTCCATACCAAGCACTATACAACGGTATCTTTATATGCCTCACCTTGTTACGGGCAAGCACCTCAGACACATGGTCATCTGAAAACGATTTCTTAAGAAAGTCAGCGGCCTGGGTAAATGAAGGCGCGGTATCACTATACAATGTACGCGGAAAACCAAATCGGTTGGTGAATCTAACAAAGGCAGGCAAGAAGGATGACACAGACATATCTTTGACTAGTTCTAGGTGAATGGCTCTAATATTAAGGCAGGTGAAAATAATTAAATACATTTTGATTGAGTCATCGCCGAACTTAACGTAGAAGTGACCAGTGAAATCCACGCCCACGTTTTCGAAAGGCCTAATAAGATTAACTCTGTCAGCATGATAATCAGTAGGAGGAGGGAGGCGATAAGCTAATACATTGAATTTAGTACAAAGAATACACTGTTTAAGAATACGTTTGATTATTGGCCTGGCTTTAGGAAGCCAGAACCCTTGATTTCGAAGAGTATTTAAGGTTGAAGCGGTGCCCATGTGCTTACACATGTCATGGCAATTCTTAATAATTAATTCTGTCAAGTAACTTTGATTTGACAAGAGTACTGGATTCGTCCCGTCAAAGGTTAAATGTTGACATTTATTTAGTCTAGTCTTAACTCTTATCAACCCATCCTTAGCTAAGAACAAATTTAAGTCTCTGACGAGAGGAGGGACTTTCTCATCCCTGTCGAGTAAGAAATTGTACTCATAAGAATAATGCTGCTTTTGTTGCCATTTTAGCCAGTAGTTCTTGGCCAGCGCGAGACAATCAACTCGAGCATAATGATGGCGACGGCTTATCTTACCAAACTGGAACAGTCGGGCGGTCACTCCAAGCAAGCCGTTTATTGAAGAAAAGTCAGTTGGTTCAAGAATGAACTGATCTTGCACTTTCATTGCTGTGGCTTCGCACGAGACAATCTCTCGATTGACAGACGACAAACAGTTCAAGTCGCTGCCAGGCCAATCCTCAGGCGTACTCATTAAGAACTGAGGTCCATGCTGCCAGAAGTCCATCTTCTTCTCCAGCTCTCTGACAGATATGCCTCGCGTCAGCAGGTCTGCCGGATTATTTTCCGAATGCACGTAGCGGAAAGTGCAAGTTGATTTATGTTGATCAAGAAGAATTTTTTGGAAGTCCATAATATCTTTGACTCTATTTGCAGAGCTGGGCAGCGCTACTTGGAAATGTAGCGGCGCTACCGCTACCAGTAAACAGAACCATGGCTGTAAACAGTATCATGGCTGTAAACAGTACCATGGCTGTAAACAGTACCATGGCTGTAAACAGTACCATGGTAGTAAACAGAAACAAGAAAGGAAGCCGCACCAAGCAGTAAACAGAACAAAGGCAGGAAACACATTCAAGAAAGTAAACAAAACCATGGCAGTAAGCAGGAAATATAACATAGGCAGTAAAGAGAACCAAGGCAGTAACAGAACCAAGGTAGCAAACAAAATATAGATTCGAAAATTGCTTAATTTCAAAGATCGCCTTTGATGGCAACAGTAGCAAAATGTCTTCTAAAATCAATCTCCAGCCGTCGTAACACAAAATCGACTTCTCCACTAACGCGGGACGTGAACAGGTTAGAAAATTTACAAGCTAATCGCTATTAAAGTTTGCACAAACAAACAATTACGAAGAAACATTGTTCATGGTTTGTAGCAACTGTTCGCGTACGACGAAAGTATAAGTTTAGTCGTTATGTTATCAAACGAGCGGCTGTATATGGCTAAGAAAGTATTTAAGAAACCATTACTAATAATTTTTTTTAATAATCGTGAAATAGACATTCAGAGGTTCTGGAAGAACGTTTATCGAAGCAATGACAGCAAAATTAGCAGCAAAATGAGACAAGCAGTAATTTCCTCCGCCACCACTAGCCTTGATTAGCGCCAAAACGAGCAACAAGTTATTTAGTATCTCGGAACACGATCATTAAATTAGAAGGCAATTTAGTTATTTGTCCATTTTTTGGCGCCAAGATAAAGATGTGATACAGCAGCCAGCAATAACATTGTACGCGCTAAGGTAATCCTTCACAAGAAGATGGCACAGCTCGGCAAGTTGAGACTCGGCGCTCGCCAGGCATATACAGGCCTGCCTCAGGCAGTATCTGACCTCGCTGCCTCGGCGGTAACCTCCAGTAACCTCTGGTACCTGCTCCACTCACCCTCCAACACTCACCCTCCAACCTCCAGTAACCTCTGGTACCTGCTCCACTCACCCTCCAACCTCCAGTAACCTCTGGAACCTGCTCCTCTCACCCTCCAACCTCTAGTAACCTCTGGTACCTGCTCTACTCACCCTCCAACCTCCAGTAAACTCTGGTACCTGCTCCACTCACCCTCCAACCTCCAGTAACCTCTGGAACCTGCTCCTCTCACCCTCCAACCTCTAGTAACCTCTGGTACCTGCTGCTCTCACCCTCCAACCTCTAGTAACCTCTCGTACCTGCTCCACCTACCCTCCAACCTCTAGTAACCTCTGGTACCTGCTCCTCTCACCCTCAAACCTCTAGTAACCTCTCGTACCTGCTCAACTCACCCTCCAACCTCTGGGAACATCTTTTCTCACCCTAAATCCGGTGGTAACCTTCTTCACTCACTGCCAACTTCTACTATCCTTTTGTACCAGCCCAGCAAATCATACAGATTAGAGATTTATAATCCAAACTTTTGACCATCAGCTTTTTTCATACGGGATATGAAACCAGGAGACTAACCACCCAACCTGTCACCTTAAATTGTCTTATCCTAGACATAATGACTATTTAATGTCCTTAAATATGATAAACAAACGGGCTCAGTGTTGACAGGATATTGGGACATTGAGTCTGATATTCTCTAGCGAATCAAGACTTGAAACGTGGTCATCACGGTCTGATCGATGAATAATTCTATGAGCATAAGATTGAAGATCGCCGCGGCGGCGATCTTCAACAAACGTTTTGTTTATTTGTTTACATTACGATGTTTATGTTTTTTCTGCAAGATATTTTTGGCGGAAACGGTAAAGCAATGCGGATTGCGGAAGTTGAAAATTTTATGAAATGACATGTTTGCAAAGCAAACCGCGATTTTTTGATCAAACAAAAATTTATGACATTCGAGCCGTGAGATTTCATACCTACTGAAATTATATGATATTAGAGCCGCGATATTTCAGACAAAAATAGGACTTTTCCAGACTAGAATTTCTGGATGGGGCAGGGATAAGGGCCTCCTCCAAGCAAGTTCTGCAGTGTGACAAGGATATTCAGTCGAGTCAGTGTGTTAGTTAATTGGAAGCGTGCTGGGGCATGCTGAGGGCAGTGCAAGTGTGCAACAGCAAGTGTTCTATGGTTTCAGGGGATCCACATGAGCAGAGAGATTGAAACTCAGCGGAGACGAAATACTTCTCAGCTGATCCGAACGATCACGGAAAAAATCATAAATGAAATCACTTCCGCGAATTTGAATGAAGAAAATTGAAATTTCCGTGTGACTAATTAAATTGCAGGTGTCAATTATAATGGTTCAACATGGTCAATTTTCACAGTTCGACCCATGGTTGAACTATATAAGGTTGACCCACGAGAAGTTCCGTCTTTTAGTTCAGCTTTCTTGTTACGTTACGTAGATCGAGTCAAACCCGTCATTCTTGTGACGGATTGGTTGACTGGTTTGATCGCATTTCGGTGATTGGTTAATACCCGTGACGTCACTGAGATCAGTGACGTCACAGGCGATCAACGAACTACATCCGCAAAAATGGGCTTCTGATGGGTCAACCTAATACTAGTTCAACCATGGTTCGACCATGGTCAACTATAGCAGTTAGGGACATACATCATATTGTATCATGAGTAATGTCATCAAACCATAATATATTGAAAATTTCCATCTCTTTTTAAAATTCATTATGAAAAAAAAGCTGCATGTCAATACTTTCATAAATATTTATTTTTTCCTGAGCAATTTTTTGTTTCGTTTGCATTTTTGATGCAAATTTGCGTCTCTGCCATCAAAATGAAACTTCCATTGTGTTGTTTTGAACTGCTAATAGCTTACTTTCTCATGTCATCATAATAGAATGGCCGTTTGACTGCACAGGCACGTCATCACGTTTTCAGTGATTTATTTATCAAAGAGATCAAAGCTCATTTCCGTGAAACCAAGAAGTAAAAACACAAATAAGAAAGAAACAGTTTCGACTTGCGTTTCATGACTGAAAAGAAACTGAATGAGCATGCTGATAAGACCCAAGGTTCAACGAAACAATAAGAGTCTAACTAACACCTAAACAAAATTAAGGAAAAAGATTGTCGACACGGAGTTCACATTTTGTAAGCATATCGAAACGCAAGTTACTAAAGCAAATAAAACTTTTGGACTGATCAGACCCTCTCACAATAATCTCGATGCAGAATAGGTAAAGCCGTTCGTCGCTGTCGTGAGCCTCACCCCTAGTTTGGAAACGCCGCGGGGTCGCCGAAACATGAAAGTGACCCCACCGCTGTGGGTTCCCAAAGAACTTGATCGAGAGTTTTTAATAAAATGGAATAAAGATAATTCCAAGGTAAAAGGGTGCGTCTTGGAAAGGAAGTATAATGATCTGAAGCCCTCATATCTTTGTTATCGATGTCTGCGTGGTCACCTCATAGAAGTATTCAAGCATACTCATGGTTTATAAAAGATTCCCTGAATGTACAGTAGAAAATGAAGCATGAAAAAAACATCAGAGTCCACGATTATGTATAAAAACTTCCACATGTGGCGTCGTGTTACCGACATGTGGACCAGACTCCATGCTGGCATCATTGACGCTCAGAGTATGAACGCGTTCATGAACAGACTAAAGAGTTATAATGAGGTATATGTTCAGATTTGAAATGCACGTCACTGCATAGGCCTAGTAAAAGTTCTCTAGCTATTTAATTCAGAGTCAGTTTTGACAAGTCTAATTTTACACTTCCTATCAACAAGTCACGAAAATGACAAGAATCGGTGATAGGCTAAACTTTACCTATTTTTCAGCACCGACACTACTATAATAAGAAGGCCTTTTAGCTGAAGCAAGCAAATCTGGCATTTCCATTAGTAATACAGAATAGAAAAAAAAACTTACATTGAATTTGAAGCTTCATGAGATCGCATTGCGGCACGTCAGCAGCCAATCCAAAATCTTAATTGCATAAAGATGTTTCAACCCCACTATTGAAACGCGCTTCAAGTAACTCCTTGTATGTGGCTGCTTAGGAAAAAGACCTTTGAAAACGCGCAACTGCTACGACTTTATGAGCTACAATAACACTCGCCACAACACGACTCTGTACATGAAATGTCAGCTTCAAGCCCATGGTCCACAGGAACGAGAAAACCAGGTGTCACTGTGCGACAGCAAAGACTGAATTTTCACTTTATAAAGAATACAGTGGAAGAACCTCGATTTTTTCTGAGTGGAATAAATTACAGCTAAAAATAACAAATTTTGCTACTTCTAATTGTGAATAAACTATAAATCCAAGTTTCTCTTGATGTTATCGAAATTTCTCTGCAGATAAAACATTACTATGCATGTGCACATTAATTAGATTATACTTGGATAAATTTTTACTTGGCTCATGATGAATTAGTGGATCAAGTTACAGCCTGAAGTAAGTAATTTTTATGCTTTTATTTGAGGATAAACTTTGCATCCTAGTTTCTCCTGAGGTAAGCAAAATTTCTCTACGCACATGAAGAATACAACTGGGAAGTTGTGGGAGGATGAAACTAACCTGTTTTAAAAGATTTTAGTAAAACGCGTGAAATTTACAAATCCAAGCTATAGAAAACAGTAGAGTATGACGGGATAGCAATTTTATAGCGAGTATGAGCACATGTTCAAAGTGGAGTGCAAGACTGAACTAAAAAAATACCAGAAATAAAGATGAATGATGGCGTACGGTAAACGATTTTATGAACATAAAAAACAGCAGTTATGAAGTTAGCAGTTGAAACGTTCAAATGTTCAGAGGTAAAAATGGGAGGAGAAGAGAATAGTGAACAATCTAGAGAATCCATTGCTAAGATATGGCATGAAAAGAGACCTTTTTTTTAAACCTGAAATGAGATGTTAGCAACAATTTACAATGAAAAGAATACAGTAGAGGAAATTATTAACATTTATTCAATATCATCCGATGAATAATGGTACTATCACTCATATAGTCACTTCACAGCAGTAATGTATGATGCAATTAAAAAATCCATGGGGGAACACCGGTATGTAAATTCAACGCAGCATGAAGACAATTCTGTTACAACAAACAAAAAAGCAAACCATTAATAAAATGGCAATCACATAATATTGGGAATAACATAACTAAAATCACGTACAAGTGTCTGTTCCTAACAGCAACCTCCTCCTCCACAACCTCCACCCTTCTTTGACTTTGTCTTGTGTCGAACTGAAGCACATTGAGACACAGGCTCTTCGTCAGAGTCTGTAGTTGAGTCTTCCATTGAGTCACTAGAATCTGTGTAGTTCCCTAAGCCAGGCAAAGTGCCTACACACTGTAAATACCCAGTTGCGCCAACGACAGCTGGGCTAGGTAAGCCAGTACAATCCTCAATGCCATTCTCATCAGGAGAAGCATCAGCATTGGTAGCAGATGGAATAGTCCCATTGCTGTCATCTTTAGAGGCAACTGAAGTATCAGCATCTGCATCACATCCTGTAAAAAATGTTAGAACATAATAAATTCAGTACGTGTAACAAACATGCACAGAAATTGTGATTGAAGAAACATTACAGTGAACAAGGTGCAATCTTTTTCATTAACTTTGGAATACTACAATGCTTATTCAGGCCTATGACCAATTCTTGGTTACAACAGAATTTAAGCAAAAAAATTCTCATTACTTATCCTTTCCTATCAAGTAAAATAATCACCAAAGACCAAGGGAAAATTAATAAACATATACTAACTTTGTTTTTTAGAAGGAGTTGTGGAGTCATTCAACCCATCACCTTTCCTCTTGATAGCTGCACTCAACAATGATTTCTGTGAGTTAGTTTTGTTCCTGGAAGATGTTCCTGAAGATGAATGAGTAACTGCAGAAACCAATTCTGATGCACGAGCCATCTCAATTTCAGCACGTCTTTTCCTGCAAAGATATAGACAAACTCTTGAAAACAATTACTTCAATACCACAAAACATGCATTATGCCTTCAGTATGTAGGTGTGTTACAAATTGCATGCACATTTTTTATTTCCTTCTTAAGAATCAATAATTAGTGATTTGTTAATAAAAAAATAATAATAGAGTAAGAGGAATCATGAAAACTTTTTCAGACCTGAATCTTTTCTCAATTTACAGCAAGTTAATAATTTTGTGACAAAATTTCAAGAATGTAGAAAATTAAAAATGACCAAATGATGAATCCTTCAGAAATAACCTTGCACAAAATTTTTGCGCTAATTCATGTTCAGTATGGTAATTGAACTAATACAGGGAAAATTGTGTGAGTGATAATTTACTGTAAGAAGCAATTACCTGAAGTCAGACAGAGCAGAACTCTCTTCATCTCTCACTTTTTTTTCCTGCTCCATTTTGGTACGGTCAACCATTTCAAGAAACTCTATTTCATCATCTTCCAAGCCTCGAACCATATTTTTCAGCCTGAAATAATGGCAAAGTTTTTATGCGTGGAGAGCAACTAACAAATATAGGTATACCTATAAGTGCCAATCATCAATAATACTACATTTTTTAAACCTAAATCAAATTTGAAGTTGAGGAGCAAATGAATAGTAGAGCATACAGAAATAACAAAAATTCAATGCTCAAAATTTTCAACAAGCTGTTGCCAACACTTTTTTGTCAGGATAGTTAATAAATGAATAAGACTGCAATTTGACTTAATTTCATACAGTTTTGATTTCAATACATGAAGTCAGAGATAGTGTAAGCCATGATATTTCATGGCTTACCTACCATGATAGTGGAATCTCAAGGTGCCAAACTTGTTAAACATGTACCTACCTATTTTTGATTGTAACAATTGTACATCAAGGCCATACATTTTATTCATACAGAATAATTTACATAAAATAGTGAAACACAGCAACATGTTCTCAAACAAAACTTTCAATGCTTCACTGTATTTGTGAATTGAACCCTTTGGCTTGAAAAAAAAAAACAATATAAATGGTCACATAAAATTTCTGCATAAATAAAACATCTACACACTTCTTCATGCTGGTGTGAAATATATTTATTACCGTTCCAGCCACCATCACAACTTTCCTGCCATTTTTGGAGCTTCAAGATCCGTTATCTCCTATCTAATTGTTATTTAAAATGTACTGTTAAACCACAATATTCCAAAGCTATCACAAATTGATCATTTTGAAGCTAAAAGTTTTTATTCACAAGTAGGAAAATTCCAATCTATTTCCCAAGTTTGTGCTTGAAGCTTCTGCCAATCATCAATTATCTTTATACTATATCATCAACATAATACCGTAATACTGTATTATTTGCCATATTAAAAAATTTTGCTAAAAAAAAAAAAATTTGCAGACAGGTGTTGCCTTTAAAACTTTATTGATGGACTTTGTGTAAATAAATCAAAACAAAACAGCCACCATTTCCGCTAGATGGGGTATTAAGAGACATCCCCCCGGGTTAATACAAGACACCCCTAAAAATGCATTTACAGTAGGACCTTGGTTAGCAAGGGCTGCGGTCAACAAAAAATCAGTTAATCACAAAATGTGCATAGAATGTCATTGATAGAAGAGTGCACCAAGCAACATAGAAAGAAAATTAATTAACTTGAACTATGATTTATTTCTCCAAAAAATATGATGGTGGTCACTAAAATATTCCTTTCTATTTCAGGTATGTTTTATATATTTTCTTGCTTTAGTGAATTAATTCACTTGACCCAATTAAGAAGGTGCAAAATTACAAGCCCAGACCTCCAAAATGAGCCAAACTCATCAAACTTTTATCTAACTTTTTTTGAGACAAAAATTTCTCTCCTTTTGTACGTACCTCTTGTATGATTCAAAAATGTACAAAAAAAATCTTGTATGATTCAAATTGTACCTATTCCAAGATTCAAAATTCTCTGCTTGTAACAGAAATCTTGCAGTTTCATGAGACATATTTGCAATAAACACAATTTGCAATATTAGACATATTAGCAATAAAATAACATATGATGGTTGATTCTAAAACATTCCTTTCTGTTTCAGGTGTGTTTTTACTTTTTACAATCTTTTGCTTTATAGTGAATTCACTTAACCCAATTAAAATGGTGTGAAATTACAAGCCGTCCTGTAAGCTTGCAGTGGACAAGATTGTTGTAAATGTTTAATGGCATGTTTATGGATATGGTAATATCACATCAATAATACGGTAATGAATGAATATGGTGATATCATATCAAGAAAGGATAAAAAAGTAAAAATCACAGAAAATGTCATTTATTCTACATCTACATCATCTACAATGAAAGAGGATAACTTCAGAGTACTGTTAGTAATGGATGAGTACACTCTGCATGCTTCAAACATTTTAAAATTGAGTTTTGTTTCAAGTGTCCCAGATTACCCTGTTCCCACGGGTAATTTGGGATGGTTTTATTTTGCGTCTGGCACCTTACAATAGAATCTAGAATTTTTCAAGATGCCCTCCGATAGCCCTCATAAAGAGCTATAAAATGAGCCTAAACTTGTTTATGAAATGTTTCATGTTGAACCATTATTAACAAAAAATACTCAAAACAGTCCCTTATAAGCCCGTTTGTTGGTATCAGGCCAAGGCATTGCAAGTTTGCTTATAATTTTCTTACTTATGATTGAAATCTTGCAGCTGCAAAATGACCAATTTTTTATACATTCGCAATCTCACAACCTGATTGTCCAGTTTTATTAATAATCAGATAGGAGATAATTCATCTAGCAATATATCAAGGAACCTCAAGGTGCTGCAATTGAGGGAAAGCTCAGTCACAGCTCAAACTGTAAATATTTTCCATGCCAAATTGCAATTAAATACACTTTTTTCCTTGTTAATTTTAAAAAATTGCAGATAGATATTAGCAGTATTACTTACTTTTCTACTGGAGAAATACGGAAAAGGCCTATGATTTATAATTATTATTGAGAATTACTTAATTCTGCACAATAGTACCTATATAGATCAGTTTGATAGTAGATATATTACAATTATTCCATGCATAAAAACCACTTAAATATTGGGTTATATTTTTAAAAAATTACCAGAAAAAAACTATATTATAGTCAGTTTAAAAAAATTGCAGGCAAAAGCGTACTGATATCCTCATTTCTAATAAAAAAATTAAAGCATTAGGCAATGAAAAAAAGTGTGAACCCTAGTAAAACTGAAAAATATTACCACCAAACGGGTTATTAAGGGATGGTTTTGAGCATTTTTTTGTTAAAAACTTCTTACCATGAAACATTTCATGAACATGTTTGGGCTCATTTTAAAGCTCTTTGCAAGGTCTATCATATGGCATCTCAAAAAAAATTCCATATGCTATTTGTAAGGTGCCTGATGCACAATAAAAGCGTCCCGAATTAGCCCTGGGAACAGGGTAATCCAGGACACTTGAAATAAAACTTGATTTCAAAACGTTTGAAGCATGCAGAGCCAGCATGGAAAATTTTACCATTAGGGCCGTGACTAGAGCTTTCCAGCCATTTCTGGAACCGCAAGATTTCTGCCAGATGAATTATCTCCTATTTAATAATAAAAAAAAGTGCACGATCGGCAGCATGATTCCAAATGAATGAAAAATTCATCACGTTGGAGCTGCAAGATTTCAGAATCAAGTAGAAAAATTCCAATCCTGATGCAGAGCGTACTCATCCATTACTAACAGTACTCTGAAGTCCTCCTCTTCCTTTGTAGATGATGTAGATGTAGAATAAATGATATTTTCAGTGATTTTTACTTGTTTTTCTTTTATTGATATGAAATTACCCTTTCCATTCATTACTGTATTATTGATGTGATATTACTGTATCCATAAACATGCCATTGAGCATTGACAACAACCTTGTCCACTGCAAGCTTCATATCAGCAGCCATACAGCACTTTTCTGTATCTGTAAGACTGTAAGGTCACAGGACGGCTTGTAATTTCACACCATATTAATTGGGCCAAGAAAATTCATTAGGGTAAACGCGGTATATTCCGACATCGTAGGTAATTCCGTCACTTTTCTAGTTTTTCCTTTATATTAAGCTTTGTTTTAGTTCCATGCGTTCATTGATGGTTGAAATGGTGACGTCATACATTTGCGTGTCAAAATACTGAAAAACACTAGGTCTTGGCCATCTAGCGGGAAAATATTAAGATCCAAAGAGAGACAATGCATGCCACGTGGTGAGATCATCGAAAAATGTGTCAAATTTGACAGTTGACATGGCTCTACCAAATAGTGAATAACTGTTTTTATAGGTAGGAAGAATATTATGGTTTGAGACTTTTAAATACGTCTGTGAATATATTAGGAATCCTTTAAGTATACTTGTATTTGCTGATTTCAAGTCGTAAATAAATTAATAGATGATCAAGTTGAGATGTTGGATTTCGACACATGAAAACTAATTCCGACACAACTTGAATTGGACACACACAGATCTTTCAAAGCTTTGTACAAAAAATTGAAATTTGCTTAATTAAAAGCCTAATAGCTGTTAATTAAAACGTAATTAAGTAGTGTTCAATATTCGTTAGTGTTCTAATTCAAAGCCGTGTTGTATCCCAATACAGCTCACACAGCAAACGGAATTTGAACATGTGGATGTTGGCAATACATATCAGTTAAATTTGAAGCGCTGACGCAATACGACTCACCACGTGTCGGATGTTGCCACACAAAGTGACGGAATATAGGGATTTGGTAGGTTCACATTCTAAAGGCTTTTTAATAAATATGGCAACATTTTGTGACGTTTCATCGTTGCTGACGCGTAGTGAAGTGTTTTGAGAGTCATGTGAAGGCAACAGAACTTACGTAACGCATACGGTTTTTTTTTTTAGTTTTTCATTTCTCGATGCATCCTTAAAGTGTCGGAATATACCGCGTTTACCCTATAACAAAAAAAAAAAAAAAGATTGTAAAAAACATATCTGAAAGAGAAAGGAATATTATAGTCACAAGTGACAACCATCATATTTTTGGAGAAATAAATCAAAGTTTAGGTTAATAACTTTTCTGTTTTATGTTGCCTGGTGCACAATTCTCTCTATGGATTGGATGGCATTCTTTGAAGATAAAATGATATGATACCAGTATTATCATACATACAAAATGGATTTAAATCTTGAGTAAATGAGAAAATTAAAAATGGACCGAGTCTAAAAATCACAGGTTTGCCACTGGCACTATGATTGATACCGTAGTAAAAATATTTAACTTTACAATACTATTTTTAGTTTTGCAATATTTTGATTAGTTTAGCTGCTACAACATTTCTACAAAATGTGGGATGACTGTCCCAATTTACTGCATCCATCCCTTAATACCCTGTTTGACTCAAATTGACTGTAATTTCTTATGAACTTAAACATCATTTAAAAAGAAAAAAGCATTAAAATTTTACCTGTGTGCATCTTCATATTCCTCTTGTTTCCTAAGTCTTTGTTCCTCTAGTCTGTGATATAGGGTACGGTTGTCTACTGGCGGCTCTTCAGGAGGCTCCTCAGGGTCCCCTTCTCTCTTTGTGAGATTCCATGCTTCTTTGAGAATCTTCTTCTTTGCCTCAATATCAGACTCGCTAATAAACCTATTGCTCATTTTAAAATAAAAATTATGATCGACTTTTCGTGCAGCAAGATACAGCAGGTGCAACCGTGCAGGAAGGCTTTGAATACGTTCTCTTTACAATGATCTTCAACTTCCAACAACTCAGCCTGACACTGACTGACGGTGACCACTGACCGAATGAGCTCCAACGCCTCACTCAACAATAATGCCGCTTCTGCAGCAGCGGATACTGGAAAGATTTTTCGCCTTCAATCTAAATAAGCCTCACTGGTGCATCTCTAAAATCTATATCATACACGCTTTTTGGCACGCTAGGCTGCATTTGAATCATGAAGGAACAATGTATTTCTACATTAGTTCATTAGCTGCTATGTCGCAATAGGTAACTTCCAAATACGAGTTAAAAGACAGATACATACATACAAAACTCAGTGGTTAAAGCGGAGTACAGGGTTGACGCAAAGAAGTGCTGGTTCGATCCCAGCTATGTGCGCCAGTTTCTGACAAGAATCGGCAAGGATGCCGGGCGGTTAAGCAGTGCAAATTTGAGGCTGCGAGTGCGAGCCCGCAACAAGCTGTGGATATTCTGCTATGTTAAGAATCGGCGACAGGCCTACGGCCTAATAAACGCTGAAACCGCTATATATGATTACACATATACTAACAAACAACTGTTGATGATTAGAGACAAGATCAAAAGTGTTTTGTCCGTACTAATATCTGTCAATAGGTTTCTGATCAGACGCGCGATCAGCAAGGGGCAACATTAAGTAATTCCCATGAGGAAATAAGATCAACCATCAGTTATTCCCATGGAAAAATAGTATGCATTCAAAGTAATTCAGTACAACTACGTGTCAAAGCAGCATCAACCTACTTTGGCATACGGATTGCTGGAGTAAGGTGCTATTGTCTAAAGGTGCCGGTACACAGGAACACTACTGGCCGCCAGTTCATCCGCCGCTTGAACTGTCCTCGTGTATAGGGGTTCAGCCGCTTCAAAGGCCTGTGCCGGAGAGGGACAACGATTTGTTGTTTTCTTCGCTGGAAAAGCGGCCATTAGCGCTGGTTCAGCCAGGGTGAGAGTATCTGTGCTGCTCCTGTGAAGTATCTGGGGTCAAGTGAATCATGGCTGGTTTGAACGATAATTGTTCTAAGAGCCCAACAAAGTGGAGTCCAGACGATATTCGGTTGTTCTTTGAGATATTAAAAAAATACGAATTAATGTGGAATGTTCGCCATGCTGGTTTATTATTAAGTATTATTATAAGTAGGTTACTCCAACAAAATGGAGAGAAACGAGTATTTGGAAACTAAAAAGACCTTATTAGTCAGGATTTAGTTGTTCCCGACGTTGCATTTTTAAAGGCTAGAATAAGGAGTATAAAAACAAAGTACAGACTTAAGTTGTTAAAGATGATCCCACTATACATTTTCACTGTCCTCACTGGACTGCTTCTAACGACGCACTGGCAGGCTCGAAAGATATCGGCACCTTTTATACTGTCCTCGTGTACAGGCTTACTTGCCGGATAGTCACCAAGCGGCCGACATTTGCCAGATCTACTTGCCGCCTGCACAGTCCCCGTGTACAAGCACCTTAAGCAATGGAACCCGTTCTAAAATAACTCAAACAATGTTCACATTTTATTGACATGTATGAATTGAATTCACAGCGCAGCTTTACTCCCTGATGAATTAAATATGTAGTGAAGAGATCTCAACTAATTCTCCTTACAATACGTGAGCATGTCTAAAATTTGACTCATTTTTGTCGTATGTAAAAAATCGATTTATCATTCAAAGCTTCAATCAAAACAATCCATGGCTAAAAAATTCAAGAATAAAAAATTTGAGTATCATTTGCTTCATTCACTAAGAAGGAAATTCATATTGGCCATTTTGATCGCAAACACATTGCGAATGGATCAAACTTTAAATGCAAGAACTCCAAGTCATTACAAATGAAAAATGAACTTAAAAACATTACATGCTCTGAGTTACAGCAAGCATCATATTATAAAAACTTGTCATCGAATGCAACACAATAAAACATTTGATGAAATTAAATCCTAGCTACTATAATTCTGTTGGATTACATTTCATTTTAAGTTGAGCTTCTAGCAAAATCTTTCTCTTCCATTCTTCAAAATCATCGTTATCTTGGTCCTTGTCACATTTCTGCTGCTTAGAAGCCACGTGGTCTTCAGCATCATTAGCCATGTTGTCTTCAATGAGCTCCATGAGAGTTTTTTGCCGCTTACGATCCCCTTCAGTTGTTTTATTGCCATCCTGAAAAAGTAAACCATGATATTTGGCTGCTCAGAAACTTTGCATGAATTCTCAGACTTTAAAAAATATTTAGTGCTGACATTGAAAGAGTAAGATTAAATTATTGGTACAATACATTTGAAGGTTCTAAGTATTACAATGACTTAACAAATAACGCACACTAAAGTTTTTTGAGTTAAAAAAGTGGCCAGAAATAACAAAAAATTCATAAAATATGCTAGTAAAACAGTATACGATCATTAGTATAAACAATTCTTGGCTCACAAATAAGTTGAGAATGAATAGTACAATGCATTGTTACTATAGAAAACAATGAAAATTTTTGTACTCGATGTACTCGACGAGATGTACCTATTCGACATCGAGATGTACTCGATGATGATAATAGGTGACTTGCACGTTAATGCATTGCATCACATACGCAGATTATGAACACAACAGATGTAGTGTTAACATAACTACACGTTATTAATAGCTGGTTTACTCTTTTATTCTGCTATTTGTGAAACGATGATGGATCTGGACTCCAAAATCTTTTTAATAAAGTGACGGTAAATTTATTTTCGGCATATTATTTACTTATAAACTCTAGACTGGCACTTAATAATCAACCATTTTAACATCAGAAAATTCAGATTTCTTTATCATTAACCTGCAGTTACTAAGAGCAATATTATTGTCCGGTGTTAATCTGGCGTCTCATTATAATCATTATTATTGTATGTAATTGAGACGTAATATTCATTTGACCTGATAGAGATTGAGGACGAGTCAACGTCTGAAGTACACGCGATAGATCACGCGATCAAGACCTCAGTAGTGGGCGGAGCGAAGGTAATAATATACGTTTAAAAACTACTTTTAAAGACAACACTTCCAAAGAATCCAGTATCTCCAATCTTACAGATGTACAATGAATTTCTCATCTAATTTTCGAAAATTAAAAAAATTACCTTTTCAATCTTATAAATATATATGAATCTTTTTTAATATATAAATTTTTTTTCAAAATTATTTATTTTGTTAATTGATTCATGCATTGCCTCTGATTTCACACAAGTGTGCCAAATTTCAGATCAATTAGACAGGGAAAAGTGTGTCAAATATCAGTTATAAGATTTGTAGCTGACAAAATTATTTTTTCAATTTTTACAACACTTCTCTTTAACTTCACTTCTTGTTTGTCTGTCTGTCTGCTACAAATCTTATAATCGATATTTAACACACTTCTACCTGTCCAATCCATCTGAAATTTGGCACACTTGCGTAAAGTTGGAGACAATGCATGTGAATCAATTCACAGAATAAATGATTTTGAGAATTACAAAAAATTTCAATATTAAAAAATTACAAATAATTTTGTCAGCTACAAATCATATTATTGATATTTGATACACTTCTACCTGTCCAATCGATCAGATTTTGCACACTTGTGTAAAGTTGGAGACAATGCATGAATCAATTGACAGATTAATAATTTTATAAATTAAAAATTTTTTTACTATTAAAAAAATTAAAAATAATTTTGTCTGCTACAAATCTTATAATTCATATATGACAATTTGATCTCTCCAATCGATCTGAAATTTTGCACAATTGCACAAAGTCAGAGACAATGCATGAATCAGTTGACAGAATAAATAATTTGATAATTTACAAAATTTGTATATCTTAAAAAATTCGGAAAAAAATTTTCTTTAATATTTAAAAAAATTTATTTGAAAAAGTATTTTTTTTAATATTTGAAAATAAAATTAGAAATTCATTGTACATGTGTAACATCCAAGACACCGGATTGTTCAGAAGCGTTGTCTTCTGAACAATCCGGTTGTTCAGAAGCGTTGTTGTTCAGTAATTTTTAAACGCATATTATTTTAATACTGAAAAATTTTTTTTTTAATTTCTAAAATCATTTATTTTGACATTTGATTCATGCATTGTCTCCAACTTTACACAAGTGGGTAAAATTTCAGATCGATACCTAGGATAAGTAGAAGTGTATTAAATTTTGATTACAAGATTTGTAGCAGACAGACAGACAGACAGACAAACAAGAAGTGAAGTTAAAGAGAAGTGTCGTAATAAAAGGGCTGGCAACCTTAAGTACGGCCCCCCAGTAGTTGATAAGCGCTCCGCGATGTACCATGTAGCTTGAGTTCTCCGACCTTACGGTCAACGCCGTAGCTTATAACTCTGTATGGTACTAATGTATTCCCACCCCGTATGCAAGATACGTTATCTGCATAGATGTGTCTTACTTACCTTCAGTACCTTAGTCAACGAAACCCGATCCTCAGGTAGAGTTTAATAAAATGAGTTCAATATCATGAGTGCAACCTCGGACATTATTGGAGGCATCACTTCTACATTGTAACACTTGCATTTATAGCTGCTAGGAGTAAACCTAGGTTTTTGCAGGTTGCAAAATTTTAGCATCAAATAAATAATTTCTTCTATTTGCGGAAAATTACTTCTATAAGCAATTAAAAAAAATTACCTTAATGTGTATTTTGGATGCGAGAGATGTCAAAACTTCTAGTAATTTGTCAAAAGTCTTCTTATTGATTCCACAAGATTCCAACAGTCGACGTTTATTGAGCTTGAGTTTGAGCTGCACGCATGCTGCTACTAGAGCAGTGGTCTGGTAGATGGGAAGAGAAACATCAACACCATAACCCTCTGTTTCATAGGCCTTCAATATGTCCAGAGCAAGCTTCTCAGCAGCCAAAACTGAATGTGTTACTGCTAGGTCATGAATGGTGAGATGTAGGTTCAGCCCCAGCATTAGAGCAATGGCTTGGACTTGAGAGCGGTATTTGATAGCAGTCAGACCAGAAAGCTTGACACAAGCATCCTGAAAGATAAACATTGTTTAAACAAATTTGGAATTGATATCAAGAATTTATTTTGCACAGGCTTGATAATTTAGAGAATGGCTTCCCTGAAAGCAATATATTCTGATCCCTTCCATCATATACTGAATTTCAGCAATTAATGAAAGTTTGAGCTCCTGTTGACTACTGTATATATCATTCTTATCAAATTTATATACATTAATTCATATCAATGAGAATAATTAGATCAACCTAAACTTTATGATAAAAAGATCAGGAATTTAATCCTAGCACCCATTGATGCCTCGGATGACATAGCCACACATACCTTGTCAAATGTTTCATGACAGAGAGTGGCAGCAAGTTGCAGGCAGATCACCACCTCTGCTGTGGCAGTAAGTCCCTTCACCCCTCGAGCTGTCAGTCTGCGATGAAGCTCTTGAGCCTTGCTATAAAAATGGAATAAAACAGCATGAATTCACATGCTTAAAATACTCAATTCCACTTTACATGAAATTATAAAAAAAAAGTCACAAAATGTTCCAATTTTAGACTGAGGACTGATTTTTACAGGCATGAAAGTGACAAAGTTGAGGTAAAAATCTTACTTGGAATAGTCATACAATGACTGAGAAATTTTCCAGCAGGTTCATGTGCCTGTCTGATTAAGGCAATTCATATAAATTAATTGATTTTCATTACTCTGAAATTTCCTAAGCCCTTCAAAGTTTTTTTTTAGTTACATTTATATTTATTCTCTAGTTCTTAGGCTATAACCCTGATTGTCCCTGAATATTTGCAAATAATTCCAGATTTGTTTTCTCCTGTAGGGAGAAGAGGATTATATTTACCTTCACAAATAGAAATTTGATTTTGAAGTCAGTAAATATAAATTAAATTTAAAAGAGGCAAAATAGTTTTTCAACATTTTTCCAAAATGAGTAAATTATAAATTTTATATATAATAGGTTGTTAATAACAATATGGAGGCTAATTCATTCAGTCAATTGTGGCATTAACACGCGTGTTTCTAATTAGTAGTTAGATGATTTATAAAGCACTTGGCTTGCCACATGTCAATGAAACAGTATATACTTCTCAAAAATATTAATGGTAGAATTTTATTACAAATAAAACACTTTAGAGCAATTTACTATAGTGTGGAATTCTGGATAGGTAATATATTCTCACATTTATATAACAAAATGGATCAGAAGGCCTACCACGTTACACCTCCCACCACTAGTTCACTCCCTGCTTGGGTAATTAATGTCAAATTTAACTTTACAATAATTAGATTATATTCACACTGAGATTTGAATGATGGAAAGTTTGTTCAAGTTTCAAACACCTTTATATGCACCCACATATGAATTTTTCTGAGTTTTTGCATGATTTTGTCAATATTGGTTTACTGACTTCACCTCGCATCCTGAATGATTTCATCTCCCTATGAGAGTTCCTGAATGTCTCGAGACTTTTTGAAAATGTCAGTTGTTTATAATAAAAAATTACTGCATATTGATAAATCAGAGAAGCAGGATTTTGAGAACTTGGGCATGTACCATTAATAAAAATTAAATGTTATTAGAATATGGGAAATGTTAAAATTTACTAGCAGTGACACTTTTGAAATTTTAATAAAACATCTCTTATGAAAGTATTTAAAATTCATAACTTTATGGATAAATAATATTGATTATTTTCATAAATATGACAAAAATTATTGATCAGTTGTGAATATCAAAAACATTATTGAAAAATGTTTTACAATTTATAGGAACAGCACTTAGACAAGTAATCATGAGTATTTCCATGACATGAGGTACGGTATTTGTAATTTAGATGCTCGACGTTTGATGCGGTTATATCAATGGATCATTTGTAAAACAATTCCATTGTCGTCCATTGGTTCCGTTAAATGACAATGGATTTTGTAGGTAATTTATGAATCCCTATTTCACATGGGGATGAAAGTTTCTCTATTTCAGAAACATTTCGGGAATTAATAGGTTTGTAATAACTAAAATTTTGCAGTCAATAGAATCCTTGAAATTACTAAATAGTTAATTTTAAGTATTTAGGTATCAGAGTGAGATTGTCATAAGATTTGTAATTAAAAACATGCTGTTCTCAACATAAAAGACAGAATGCTTTTAATATAAAAAAATGCCTATATCTTCTGTAATAAAAATGAGCCTTCACTCACTTGGCAACTGTTGACTGAAATGCCATTAACTGATTAAGCACAGGCAATCATCAATCAGAGTCTGGACCAATCAGTGAGATGTGTGCTTTTGTTGTCGTGTCACACATATCAATTTGCTCCCCCAAATGATCTCTGTAGTGTGTCAGGCATGGAATATATCTACTTGACAAGCAGCAACTTGATTTTTTGAGCCATGGTTTTATGAACTGTGAATTCCATATCTTGGCCATGAAAAGCCATCTACAAGCCACAAATTTTTTTACTAAGTCCCATGCACATGTTATCCCAAATCTCTAATTTTACCCTAAAAACAGTCAAACCAGCAACACTAACATTTATCTTCACTCAAGTGGGAACTGAACATGTGATAATGCAGTCTGACTGCACTGACGTGACCGCAACTACGTGATCTCGAAGGAAACGTTTTGGATTGACTTGTGTTCTGCAGGATATTTTGGCAGGAGTGTAAACAAGTGCTAAAGTACTGCTGATTTTGGAAGCTAAAAATTTTTATGTAATGACATGTTTGCAAAGTGCAAACTGCAGTTTTTTCAATCAAACAAAAATACATGTCATTAGAGCCGCAAAATTTCTTCCCTACTGAAATTATATGATATTAGCGCTGCAATATTTCAGAAAAAAGTAGGGCTATTCCAGCCCTGCAGTGTGTCAGGTACTCTGTACTTGTGTTGAACAGTAAACACTGCTTTGTAGTTTAAGATATTATTATTTCAGTTAAGGTTATTTCATAGTCTTCAAATATATAGACTAGTACTGAATGAACTTATGCATCTCATCAGTTTAATTAAAATTTTCAAACATCTGCTTGAACTTTCAACTTTTCAAGGCATTACATAATATGACATTGATGATTAAAGGAGTGAGTATAACTTTTTCTCAAATTAAACACAGCCTTTCAATTTTTCAAAGTTTCTGATTCTGATCATCATGCATCATTGACATTCAATGATTCATTAGAAACGCTACTTCTAAAAATGACAGAAAATACCTTGACATGCTTAGCAAATAAAATAGCTAGATAAGCTAGTAGTAGATATTTTTCATTTCTGCTTTGGAATGAATTTTCCTCAATGTCTGCAAGCCTGCAAAAATAATAAAATTAAACCTTAAGCATGAAGAACCAAAAAGGCAAAAACCTTCATGGGACTATATAAATAAGCAGAGTTTGGATATAAGCAGAGTGTGGATATTGGAATGGAATGAGATTGTTAGGACAAATGAGTATAAGTACTTAGGGATGTGTGTGGACCATGAAGGATGTCAGAGAATAAAGGCCGCAAATCTAAGTAAGGCGAACTAATGGTTGGGTATACTTGGAAGTGCAGCAAAAGTGAGAGCAAGTAAGTATGAAGTACTGAGGGAAGTGTGGAAGAGTGTGGCAGTGCCTTGTATTATGTATGGATTGGATGTGATAGTATATAGTGATGGTGAGCTAGATAAATTGAAATTGGTGCAGAATAGAATGGCGAGATTGGCACTAGGAGCCCCCAGGTGGACAGCAGTAGACACCCTGAGAGGAGACATGGGTTGGATTACCTTTAAGGAAAGAAGAATGAGAGCAGTTTTGAGGTATAAAGTGAAACTGGAGCAAATGGACAATGAATGCTGGGCACAAAAGATGTATATTTGGAACATGAAGGTGAGCAAATGAGCACATAGATGTCGGGCAGTGGTGCGTAAGTGTGATATCACTGATATGCATAAAGCATGGGTGTGCCAAAGGCCTGCTGGGCCAAAGGACGAATGGGTGGTGAAAGTATGGGGTGCGATTAGGATAGAGTGGGATGAAAAAGAGTGGAAAAGAGAAAAAATAAGCAAATGAGACTATGGGCTGAAGGTGAGTAAGCAAGGAAAGGAGGGAAAGGGGAAAGGACACTCTAAGACTGTATCAGATGAAAATTATGCCAAAATATGAATGTATGTATGATGGTAGTAGAGGTGGGGACCTTCTGTTTTGTGTTAGGGCAGGTGTGCTAGGTGTGAATACTGAATGGACATACATACAGGTGGAATGAGAGGAGGGAAGATAAATGTTTTATGTGTGATGTGGATGAGAAGGAAACTGTGGAGCACTTGTTGATTGAATGTGGAATGTATGAGAGAGAGCGACAGAGCGTCAGTCTATGATGGAGGTGTTTCTGAATGAGAGGCGAGATTAATGAATGGGGGCATGAGAGAACATGCAAAGAGTGGATGACAATACTTTTGGGTCTGTCTGAGGGAGCAAGTGCGGCTATGTTTGAGGTTGTGAAGAGATATTTGGAAAACGTGTGGAGGATGAGGGAGAGGAGGAGAATGATAAGAGTGGGTCTTGAGGAACGGAGGGTTGAGAGAGGGGAGGGTGGGAAGACATGTGACCGTGCTGAATTGTTTTAGTACATTGTTTTATATTTTTTAGGTTGTTACAAAATGAAACAAAATTATTAAGCTTTCATATTATTTCATTATCATTAAGCTTATTTCATAGGACTGCTGTGAATACAGTTTAATTGAACTTTTGTTATGATACAGGTGTGAACTTTTAATTTTTTGACTATAGTAAAAGTTTTTAGGCAGCATGTATGACCGACATAAAGGTTGTGACCGGAGGTCACCACGCATTTCAATTCCACTATGGCAGTATGGGTCATGCCATCATGGGAGAGATAGTAGGTATTTTTCCTTTTATTATTTGAAACAGAAACTGGAGAACTCCTGTAATTTTTTATTGGTGAAAGTTCTACATAACAAATAACATTATATCCACAATCCAGTATCCACAATATAATCCAGCATAGGCCTAGCCTATGCATTCTAGGCCTATATACATAATACATATGGTAATAACATACCTATGTAACCTATCTGGTTAATCAGTCAGTCCCAAAAACCAAGAAATTTGTTCTACATTTTGTAGCTAAGCATTGCTACTTTTCAACAACATAACACAGCACACTGAATTTCAATATTTTCTTATAAATTTACTTAGCTTTATTAGTTTATATTGGTACCTACCTTAGGCTACCTATAGTACCTATTATTAGTATAGTCTTTAGAAGTGGAAGTCTTACTATTTGGTTAGGTAGGTTAGTAGAATTTTGACTCAAATTACTCAAGTCAAGGAAATTTGGATAGGTAAACATATTCTAAAAAAATATGAATCTTGACACATACTAGCGTAAATGATCAATCCCAGACCATAAGTTGAGATAATTACCATTGAGTGGCAGGAGAAGTAACTCCAATTTTCTTCCCCATAATTAGGAGGAGTTGATCTGTTTGACTCCCCGAACTCATCACTGGAAGTTTTCAAGTGACAAATACGTGTACAAACGTAATTCAGGGAGTTATCCTGCTCAATTTCGAGTTCGTTTGTGATTAAGTCCTACAAGACGATGAGCATTTGAGAAAAAATAAAATTGCGACAAGCAGCAGCAGCTGGTCAACTTGAGCAATTCAAAGGTGTAATCAAGCTTGGCGCTTGAACATGTTCGCGTGGTGTTGGCGGCTTTTTGGCGGCTACCTAACTTTCAAGTGGAACGTCGCGGTAAATTTTTGTTATGGGAGCGACTGGCGTTTTATTTATATCAAATTATTAACGAATGGTAATTCTCGACTCTTACATGAAAATGCGATGTTGTTAAAAAGATTTGCTGTAGTTGAAGGGTTGGAGGTGTGAACAAGGTGAAAACAGTCGCAGCGCGAGGTGAAAAAAATTGCACCATATTAGATTATTAGTAATTGGATTTAGGATTTTAGGTAGACCTAGGACTTAACTTTCGGTGATTTTGTACTTTTAATTAGAATATACAAATTGAAATTCAGATGACATATAAAGCTAAAGTACTTGATGTTTAACTTGCAGGATGAAGATATAATAATCTGTTTCAACAAATAGGGTGACAAATATTTCCAATAGTTTGCGCTACTAATGTTAATAATATTGAGTATGGTGAGCTTAGGACGATAATTTCTCGCCCGGTGAAGAATTTCAGAGGGCCATAGAGGCTAAAAAAAACGTCATCTAACATCAGTGGTTCAAGTGCCGCTCCATACATAAGTGTAAAAAAAAAGCGTTGGCGTGAGCTGCCTACCACAACTAACGATCACCGACCATTCCATGGACTAAGTTTAGACAACCTTTCTACACATAACTTTGTCAAATCAAAAACATGTCTAAATTAAGAGCAAGCTTTTCATTTCCAATATGCTCCTCTGAGAGTTAATTTTTTTGCTCGCTTCATTTTCACACGTATCTCGAATGAAGGTAAAATGGAAAAAAACTCGCGAATGAAGACAAAATCGGATACAGCTTCGCGAGCTGATCATCATCGTTTGCTGGTTAGCAATGTATATTCAAAATTTCGTTCAAATCTATTCTGTAGCTTAGAAGAAATTCTTGATCACTGAATTTCGGTCCGTGTCTCTATATAACTCACGAACGAAGGCGAAATTATTAAAATTACCACCTAAACATCACCGTTAGGTCCTAATGAATACGTGTATCAAGTTTCATCTAGCTGCGTTCATTAGTTTGGGGGATATTCCTTGATCATTGAATTTGGAGATTGGCCATGAGACCGGCCGCAAGTCCGGCCATAAATTTGTCCGAGACGTCATTTTCACGTACCTTGCTTAACACCAAGTTGGGTGTGCGTTGGGGTCTTAAAACTTAGCTATAGCGGGTTACGTGGGATAAAAGCAGTATAAAAGATTCTACATTGCTTGCAGAAGCGTTCTTTGAATAAATTGCAATGTTATTAATTTGGGCAAGATCAGTTTCGATGCGACAAAGAATTATGTGAAAGAAAAACGCAACAAATTATTTAAAAAAAATTGTGAAAAATTCGTCCCGAAGTGTCGGAATGGTGCTGTCATTGAACGGGACTCCCACCACAGGGGGCCCCTTCCTGTCACCGCCTACTACTAGGTACCAGCCATGTCCCGCTAATACTAATTTTTTGCAACAATCTTATTATATACAACTCAAGTCACTAAAAATTTGTGTTGAGTATTTTTGCTTTTTGTATTGGGACCAGGATGATAATAGCTTAAATTAGCAGTTGTAACTTGATGACAGATTGTCGTGTGTTTACCGGTAAATATTTCTGAGAAGTAAAAATTCTTAAGTGAAAATCGTTATAATCCCGGAAGCGTTTGCGTACCACCTTGAAGGTCCTCATGTACTACACGAGGTAAGCGATGAAATATTTTAAATCATCCAACTATCCATGAAAGACAAACAAGTTTTTGGAGATCTCCTAAGCCAAAATTTAGTTAACCGATGTCGAACATTACGGCGTTATCAAACTATAGAGCTGAATTGAATGGAGGCTAAATAAATTTAAATGTGTTGACTAAATGTCTATAGGGGTTCAAACGGAAGTTATTCGTTTCGTTTTTTATACGCACTTGTCTAATTAAAATATTTTTGTTGAGATTGAATAATTTTTCATCAATATGAACTTCTTCGCAAAATTCTATATTTCTCCAGTGAATGCTGGAACGGTATATCTTCGGGTTTTTATTTCATCGGACAAAAACTCAACATTTTCTGTCAAAAACCCCGCGAGGCCGCAAAGTCTGGACAAGTTTTTTACTCGGGAGGACATGGGCGGCTCAATTAAACCGGCGAGGCGGGCGAAAAAAAAAAACTGTCCGGATATAGTGAAGAACATTTTCAAATGGCCCCACTGATAAGCGCGACAGTTTAATTGCTTTACTGCCGCTGGAAAGATGATAGGCTCAGCCTCGCGAACGATGAGATCTTAACAAAAAAAGCGCCATAGCGTCCCTTCGATATAGCGACACGAATGACTGATTGATTATTTTCCCTTACCCTCATGATAGAATAATGACGTGAATGCAGTTTCAATTGGTTTATGAAAAAAAATTCCCAATAACTTGAAAATAAAATTGTTACCATACCGTAGAGATCAAAATCGGAACCTATATCGGAAATCGGAAAATAAAAAAATACCTATTTCATAATTTAATCACAGCCAAATTCATATTTTACTCTTCCTGGCTAAGATACGTCAGATACTTTTCAAGATCCAGATAGGATCTTAAGGCTAAGATACTTTTTTACCTGACTAAGATACGTCAGCATAGTTCGAATGTTAATGCCATTCTGATATCGCCACAACATGCTTATGATGTCTTTGGCATCATCGTCTTTCCACTAACTTCTAAAGTTGTAATGATACTCGATCATATCGAAGCAGAAAATGATTGAATCTGTTGTAGAATAGAAGCTAATTATATGTAGTTTCTTTACATAGAAGCATGAATGATTTTGGGTGTACTTTGTTAGGAATAATAAGGCAAAATTGCGTGACCGTTCAAAACGAGCTAGTGTATGCAATTGGATTGGATTGACCATCTCATTAAGATAAGCTCTAAATTCGAGAGAGATAGATTGAAATGAATGCTAGTCGCAAATTAAACTGAACTGTTGATAATACTGCCTATTTTAGTATCGGGATGAATTGAAACGCCTGTGGCCTTAGATCGAAATTATTATTGAGGAATTTTACGCTATTTGTATCAATAAATTTATAGCTATGTAGCGATCTCGCTTCATACTCGGGTATACGGAGAATCGTGACCTGAGACAGGCCAGGCATGCCTTAGCTGGGACGAAGTCCTGCGACTGCAACGACTGGAGGTCACAGCTGGGATGAAGTCCTGTGACTGCAACAACTGCAGGTCACAGCTGGGACAAAGTCCTGCGACTGCAACAACTGCAGGTCACAGCTGGGATGAAGTCCTGTGACTGCAACGACTGGAGGTCACAGCTGGGTTGAAGTCCTGCGACTGCAAATCCTGCAGGTCACAGCTGGGATGACTCACTGCAAGTAGGACAGGCTTAAGGCCACGTTTCCTTTGATCCTTGGAGGATCGAGTGAATCTCGGTCGAGTTTAGAGAAGCTGAAACAATATCGCGCCGAGACAGCCGTGAAGGTCTCAGCAGGTATATCTGAATAGATGGTACCATTGTTTAGTTAGTAGACTCGAGATGCGGTCCGTTCGTCAATAATGTAAAATAATTAAACGTGGAACTATCATGCTGTCGCTCATCATTTTACACATAAAATTTAATTTATTTTTGAGGAGAGGTATATTTCGGTCACTGAATCTTTATTGTATCCTCCTAGAAGGCGACGTGTATCCTCCTTAAAACAAAAATGTTTTACAGATGAAAATAAAAATTTAAAATTTCTTCGAACTCAATGATGGAATAAAAAATTATTACTTTATAATTACTACAGATCATTATTATTCTAACCAACTAATTTTTCGGGGCGCACGAGTTTAACTTTCAGCCTCCTGGCCTTGGCTCGATATCGTTTTAATTGGCCGGCTCTTAAAGCGCTTCTATGCGCGCGGTAATTACCCATTTTCAAATTCGGTCACAGTTGCCGATTGATCTGTGATTTACTATTGATGATGAGGAGCTAAGGAAATGAGGCTACACATGAAAGAATCATATTCAATTGTGGCCTAAGAACAACTGAGAATCGTTTTATGAAAAATGTTTAAAATTGTTAAAATCTTTGGCGACGATAAGGGGTTTTAAAGGTATTTATCGTCTTAAATAAAATTTGAAATAACGGAAGGAAATTCGTTCTTTTGATGTTCATGGACCGCGTTCACTTTCACGCAGAACACAAATTATCTGAAAACTGAAAAACTCGGCAAAAAATCTCACCAGAAGCTTGTTTCTTCCCGTAAATAAGAATTGCATGCAAAGTATTGGTTTCAAGTGCTGCTAATAACCGTTTAGCTGGCAGTGAGGGCTGTTTTCTGGTAGAATTTTCATGAGGTGAAAATCGGACCCAATGACCCCTAATACTCAGCGTCGCAGATGGTTAAAATAAAATAATAAAAACTAATATTTTATTTCATAAATGCTACCATCGAGGCAGGGGTTTCCAACTCATAAATGCTTAAATTGAAGCAGGGGTTTCAACTCATAAATGCTTCAATTGAGGCAGGGGTTTCAACTCATAAATGCTTCAATTGAGGCAGGGGTTTCAACTCATAAATGCTTCAATTGAGGCAGGGGTTTTAACTCATAAATGCTTGCTCCCGTGGTTGCCCGGGATCGATAAGCCCTGCAAATTTTGAATTATATCATCCAGAAACGCGTTAGTAATATAAAACTGGCCAATAATTTTTCATGCTGATAAACGAGAGGTTCTATTTGGCTGTTCTTCATGAAATGAAACATATAAGGCATTTTTCTTTAATAGGCATTTGAGCCTATCAAATAACATTTTTACCTACCTTTTTAAAAGACAAACTCCAATTTTTAATAGATAATTTTTTCAAGCTTTGTAATGCCTTACTATTCTGTGACTGATAATAAGTATCAGGGTCCAGGTATTATCCCTACACGATAAGTGTAACGGATACACGCCCTTAGAGCCTCATTATCTCTACAGCGCTATGACTCGAACATAACAACACTCAAACTTTGACAAATATTCATTAGATAGTTGGTCGAATTTGAAATTTAAATACTAGTTCTCCTGCAGAAGTGTTAGAAAAAATAAAACAATTCGATTGTTAGGATTGTTAACATGAATTCAGTAAAAAAACACAGGTGCGAAGTTAATTAAACGCTGGGAGCAAACACCGCAGACTTAAACAATTTGAACATGAACTTTCCTAACAATTTTGGACAATAAGTTGGGAAATGCAATTCAACAATAATAAATATTTTTTGACAAAAATTAACCCTCCAAGCAAATGGCATTGAAACAACGTTGATTACGAATTGATTTCGTTGAAACAGAGTTTAATCAACGTAATTCTAACTTAGAACCCAATGAGAAGGCTTACTTTATTTTGTACCCAGGGCACGGTGGGCAAAGGTAGAGCGTTTAGTCTAGTAGTGGTGCGGCGAAGGTTCAGTAGCGCCTTGGATGTTGGCAAGTGAGGTTGTGACCGCCGTGTGCTGCTCGCCCGGCACCTGCAGGTGCCTCGCCCAACAAGAAACGACATCGTTTAGCTTCCCCTGAATGTGTTTCCTGAGTGCAGAATAATTTAAATCATTAACCTTTCTCCTTATTATAGCAAATGCTTGACGTGTCGAACGGAAATTGGTTTTAAATTCATGATGAATTAAACTTGAGAATTAAAGTGCATGAAATATATATTACTGGCCAAGCTTTTAACAAATAAAATAAATATCCACGATGACTCAAATCACGCAGTTTATTTGATACGAAAACAAATATTCCTACACGTATAGGTTAATTTTCACCAGGACCAGGAGCTTTTTTGAAACCCTAACTTTGCAGGTGAGTCAAGCTGAAATTAAAGCATTTCAATTAAGTTTATTGTTCCTGGGTTCAGGTCAATGGAAAAATTTGTAGACGTATATCGCCGCTGTGCTGAATCTGTAAAAGAATGCCGAGTAAATTTATTAAGATTGTTATTAATTGATTAATATATATTTATTATTATTATTAATCTAAGTGTTGACTCCAATAACCTCGGGTAGACTAAACTTCACTTCAGTCACGGGCCCATCTTGCAACGAACACTCGGAGAAAAGAATGGCGTTTTGTCCCAATAGTGATACAATTTCTTCTTGTTTGGATCGTCCTGACCAAGTGTGGCCCGGCAATGGGGCATAGCAGTGTTACGCACACTCTCTGCTCGTGCTGTACATGGGGAAGAATGTGTGTCACTACTTGAACACTGTGACCCGTTTCTTTTTCTCAGTGTATACTGATAAAAATATTGCGTTGATCGTATTCTGATTTAGCAGATATTTTAGATAATAAATGATCGTTGATTACATGTATTATGATAAGTTGTGAAATACACTGCTAATTTAGAATTGAAATGAATGAATTTCTTTTCGTTTTTAGGCGGCATTAATTAATGAATTAAAAAAATAGCTGCTGATGCGAAGTTATGGTCAGATTATATCCAGCCACAATGAATCATCTTTTTTTATTACTTTTTTCCCTTTTTCCTGTTCGTTTCTAATCGTTTGTAAATTACATTGAACGAATTTTAGAATCTTAAGTGAGATTTTTAAATTTTTAATCTAGCGGTAGTATAAAAGATTGGTTTAAAATGACCGCACCATTGAAATTTTACGTCAAAACTTCCGAGTTTGTAATATTTAAGAGACGAATAATGTATCATGGGAATAAGCTCGTCTTATCCGTAAATTGCAACGTTGACTGTAGATGTCGTGGGTACAGTATTGGGCATGGAATATCGTGAGCACATCTAAGGTTTTCGACGCATCTTATCTAACATGTCAATACATTTATATCTGAACTTGCACTTCAATTTAGTTAAAATACAAAATCTTATGTATATATATATAATTAAGTGTGTGTGTGTGTGTTTGAAGCATGGCGCTCACGCTTATATAGGTTGTTAGGGGTGAGTATTCAATCTAATTACTATTTTAGGAAATGATATGGGCTTGAAAATTGATTCTCCGTGGGCGAATAATAAGGCGTTGCAAAACTTGGAGGAAATGGATAAAAAATGTATGTTTAATTTTAAATTATTATGTAAAAATCAAAGTTAAAAGAAAACATGTTTTACCTTTTTAGGTACATTACTCGCATATATGGCCTCAATGGTGAAACCTGTTTCACGTCTGCCGTACGTATAATGGCTATGTCTGTTTCACGTCTGCTGCACGTATGACGACGATGGCTATGTCTGTTTCACGTCTGCCGCACGTATGACGACGATGGCTATGTCTGCTTCATGTCTAGCATTAGCTGAATGAATTAAAAAATAAATTTGCCTTAACAGTAGACTCAAATTAACGATCATGACTTTCCAAGGTTTCCAAGGCTTCGTTTTGCCTTGGTTTACACTTAAAAATGACTGAACGATAATTCCTTCCAATTTTTCATACATGTTTAGATTTAGTCTTGACAGTTTAGACATGTGATCTGTATTTTCATAATCGGGATTTTTGATATTTCGAAACAGAGGATGTTAATTGTTGTTTGATAGTCAAGCAGGAAAGATAAAATTATTTTTTTAAAGACAAATAAACTTTAAATACAATTAATTTAACAATTCTATATGCAGTCAGTATTCAGTTATTCCTTCTTAGATTATAATGAATTGATAGGTAGTTTTCAGCAAGTGGCTTGGTCCACCTGGAATAATTATTATTTAATATCACATCATAATAATTAATCAAAAGACACGATCTATGAGAACAGAAAATAACTGACAAGTGAATATATTCATCTACTACACAGTATTTTTTATAGTTACAGCTATAATATAATGATGCCATGCTATTGTAAAGCTTGTATATTATGCAGTCCCCCCTAACAGACGTCAAGGTTCCCTATTTTCGCCGTTTCCCTGCAAAATAATTTTTATTTTTACAACAATATTATAGCCATTAGATGCTTTTGATGCAGCAAGGCTTGTATATTATACAGTCCCCCTAACAGAGATCAAGGATCTATATTTTACGAAGTTTATCATAGAATTTCTTGAACACATCCGTCAGAATCGCCCCCTCAAAAACAGAAGCAAAAGCCCGAGTTTTATTTGTGAACCCCGCTTGTACAAATCACGGTGAAGTGTCCCTGAAACTCTAGGCGGAGTGCGGGGAATAAATTCGCTTACCTTTCATGTGAGAATAAACTCCAGGGACGTCGGGTGGAAAGTTCAGTCGGCAAATAGTTCGAGAGAATTGAGCTTTTGAGGCTACGTACGTGACGCATGTTATGATGAGATATTTTGCTTATCATGATCTAATTACAATGTGCATTATTCATCAAAATCTCGTCATATTTATTTAAAGAATTTAGAACGATCAAATTTATCATTAATTAATCGGTTTTGTATTTTTATAGATCACGAAGACTAATAATCATATGAATAATGTATATATGTATTTTATATATGATTCAATCTGCGGAAATTTTAAAGTCAACTGTTTTTCATAATTCGTTGAATATTACAAAATATTACAATGCTATTCATTGCCGTCACGTTATGCCACCATTTACACGGTAAAAAAATATTTAAAAGTACAATTAAAAATCACAAATTATTTATTTACGCTATTTCATTTGTATGCACAACTGGGTAAACGAGTCATCCATACACAGCTTCTGTCGTGCTGCAAATTGGGATTTAATTGCCATTGTGAAATGTCAATAATATAACGGGGATCATCGCCCTGCCATTGACGCTGAGGCGGCACTAAACTTCACGTACTATACCAGCAGACGCTACCTCATTACGCTTGCTTCACTGCGAGTTCGCTGGGGAACTCAAACCTTCAGAGACTGCTTTAGATTCTTGAATTCTGCGGACCTTAATGTCAGTCCTGATTTCATACCTATAGCACAAGATGAGGCTTTCGTGCGAGGAAATCTTGCGGTTAGTATTTCACCGCTAAGATTACATGCGAGGTTATACAAGTGGATTTTCTTAGGTTATAGTGCCGGCCACGGCAATTCATCACGCACGCACCGGCCATTACAGCAAGTGATGGCTTACTGCTTGTCCCGCGCCAGGCATGAGGTTCAAATCCAGAAAATTACACAAGTTAACTGTTCATAACACTCATGTTGAAGAAAATTAGGCATGAATTGCTAGAAACTCTAAAGGAAAACTCGCTCACGTCATCCTGCTCCCTTCTATTCATCAAGAAAACTTGACATCCTGACTCGTTTCATGCTCTGCAATTTGTCCGTCAGTTTCAAGCTTTAAATTAAGCCATAAGCACTTCACTGATAAGGTCGTCTTAGAAATCTTGTTCACTTCAGACGACCAATAGAATAAAAGTATGCTTCACATTTCATGGAAATTTATACAGTAGAAAATATGCTCTTACACGTATCAGCTTCAAAGGGTTTCCAAGAAGTGAAACGGCTGGCCATTAATAAATTTCTACGTCCTGTATGACATAGAAATTTCTGATGTAAAGCGCGCTCCGTAAAATAATGCTTAGCACAGCCCAACGAATTTAAGCTTGTTGTTTTTATGAGTGGAGACGAACGATCGTAATGCGAAGCAAGCGTTCCTCAAGAATTGATCTTATATTTATCATATATAAGATTCATTATATTTATCAAATATACATTCAGGTATTATTTTATCGAATTAAAAACCAGAGAAGCAGCAGCAATTTATTCAATAGAAGAGGCAAGTGCAGCAAAACATTGTTTTTTCCACTCCTCTGGCCGCAGTCCATGAGGATCATCAGCATTATTAAGTTCAGCATCAGGGGGAAGTACTGCAGCCTTGCGCTAGTAGTGGAAGACAGCTTATCCAAGTGGACGTCTTCAACTAGTGGAAGTAGAGCGGGTGAAAGATTAGCAGCAGCAGCAGTAATGACAGTAGCAAGAGAGACCGCAATAATAAGTGTAGTAGCACCGTGGATCATAGAATTTGGAAGATCAGCAGTATCAGCAAGTGTAGAAGTAGCAAAAAATGCAGCAGTATAGCTGGCATAGAGCAGTTTTAGGAGAAGCAGCGTAAGTTCAGCAGCAGCAAATGTAGCAGTAGCAGTAATACTGTAGCATCATCCGTGAGTACAGTAGCAGTCTGCATTGGAGTGTCTGCAGGGTTTGATAAGGCGTTGAGTAGGCCCTTTAGAGAGCCTATAGTGCCAATATCTCGCTCATAACTGTCACTGCATAATATAAACGTTATATTATTCGTCGTAAGAGTAAAGCTTCCTGCTCGCAATGAGCAAATCAAGGTAAATGACGCTATTTGAGAGTGAGCTGCACCACAATATAACGCCCAAGGTCCCCTGAAATTTTCAACACAAATTGTAACTTCATGGAAATTCCAGACCTGCTGCAAACCCCGTAACCTCACTACACTGCAGCAGAGGCGGATGCCAAACAGCGTGACTTGCACAAAGCATGTTTGAAATTCTGGCGCTGCGTAGTGTAAAATTCCAGCCTATATAATTAGCGAACAGGCAAATTCGTGTGGTGATTTGGATTTTCGGATTTACGAAATGTTGAAGGTGTGCATTTAACGTATCAATGCAATTGCACTATTAATGAAGAGGATTCAGGGCTGAGAAACGGATATTTAATTGGACACAAAATATCGGTGCATTTCAGAGGCCGAATACTTTATTCCAACTAAAACTAAAATGATGGTTTAAGACTCAAATAAGGGCAGAATTAACATAGGCTGCAACAGACAATATCTTTCGCATGGCGACGTTTCGATCTAATGGTCAAAAGATGCTTACCTGCTAGAGCTTGCTGGGAGAAAATGCCGCGACTGTTGATCAAGTCCCAGCGTGGACAACGTATTCGTGGAC